CTCTCGGCCCCCCTTCGCCGAGCCCGCAGCTCCTCCCACTGCAGCCCGGGTGACAGCGAAGCGCTCTCCACCCCTGACCTCTAACCTCCGCTCGCCCCTCTGGCTGCTTCGGTCGCCCCCTCCCCGCCTAGCTGGTCGCTTTGTTGCGGTTTCATTGCGGCTGCCTGGAGGCGGGGGGAAGAAAGCGAATGGAGAGAGTGTGTCGAGGAGGAAGCAGCCCCCTCCTGCTCCAGACGCGGTGTTGGGGCTTCCTGACCACCCCGCCCCCATCCTGGGCCTTCCAGGCCCATCCAGGCCCAAGAGGCCCTTGGTATTGACGCTTAGCTCGCCTGTCACATTCACCGAAGCCCCCCCGTGGTGGAACGGGTGACCTAGCCAGCTCCTGATGGTGGGTGGGCCTGAAAGATTATGAAGTTAAGCCAGGGTTCATTGTTGCCTGGGACACACAGAAGTGCCCTCTCCTGCCTTGTGACCTGCTCCTGGTTCCACTGTTGTTTCACTCATTGCAATTGGACTTTGCCCTTTTTTATGTCTTATGCACCTCTCTGACCCTGAGCTCTTCCAGGCACTGCTTTTTCATCTTGATAGCTCCCACAGTGCCTGCCTCTGAGAACTTGTTTGCTAAGTGATTGAGAAGCTGCCATGCCCAAAACATTAGGTACTGACCGACTTTACTGGCCTCATCCCAAGAGCAATGTCCAGATTCATTTGTTTTTATTTGTTTTTAAGTCCAGAACCTCTTCTACATCTTTAAATTAAGCCTCATTTTTTTTTTTTTTTTTAGCAGTTTCAGGCAGCTTCCATATCCATCAGATGATGTGAGGAGGATCATAAGGCAGAAATGCAAGGTGACTGGCACACCTGCCCTGGACACCTGTGCGCCATCGATTTCCAGATCAGGAGTACCTGGCGATGCTGGGACAAATGAGACAGGGGCCTGGGCGTGCTCTGAGGAAGGGTCAAAAGCCCAGTGCCAATCCAAGGGATTCTTATAAGCAAAAGTCTTACCTAATAATGAGGTCAGAAAACCAAAATGACAATGATCTTTGATAATCTATACTAATGTGCAGAGGAGGTGGGTACCATCTGGACTGTAGTCAGAAACACATTTACTGGCACCCCTTTTGTATCTAGTCCCCCCACCTCTTGGACCGGATGTCTGCATTTGAGTTTGCTGCAGCAAAAAAAAAAATTCCAAATATGACTGGAGAGAGAAGACCCAGGCGTGGCCAGAAGCTGGAGTGAGGAAGGAAGAACAGTAGCGAGGATATTAATGAACCGACTAATGAATAGCTGTAAATTCCTACCTGGTCAGATACTGGCAAACTCCCTCGGGATCTCTCCCGGATTTCAGTTCTTCAGGCTGCCTGAACTCAGTCATCCTAAGAAAAGGAGAGGTGGGCGGGAGAGGTGAAAACCCATCCTACTCCTGAGTCATTTGTTCATTCAATTAGTATTTCTTGAGTGCCTACTAAGTGCCAGAAGCTGTTCCGGGCACTGGAAATCAATCAATAAAACAGAGCCCCAGCCCCATCCTTGCCCTAGGAAATCTCTGCCCTCTTGGTCCTTTCATTCTGCGAGGTTTGCAGGTGGTGATAGACACGTGGGGAGATGGGTAGAGGGAGAAAGCTGCCAGTGAAAAAGGAAGCCTGAAGGGGAGGTCAGAAAGCTGGGGCTGAGGGTAAGGGAGCCCAGGAAGAGCCAAGGAAATCAGAGGGCCCCGCCTGGAAGACACAGCCGGATAAAGGTGCCCTGGGTCGGAGGGCCCCTGACTCAGGGCACTGAAGAGCTCCTGGGTTGGGGAGCTCAGCCTCAGGTCACAGGCCCCAGAAAAGGCCTCAGCACTTGCTGAATGTTTTTTCTGGGCTAACCTGTTACCTGGGCCTTTCTGGAGTTTTCGGGGGGATTCGGTATACCGCAGCTGGCGTCACAGGGCTTGTCCCCATCAGTTCTGTGTATCTGAGGTCATGCTATTTCCTCAAAGCCCGAGACCCAGGAAGGGGAGGAGGGCCCGGTCTGCCTGGGGTGAGAGTCTACTGTGGATGTGCGGGTGCTGCCCCCTGGTGGTGCTAGGAGGCCCTGCGCCAGATCTCACCTCGGCTCTGGGCTGTGGTGGTGAGAAAAAGAAGCTAATTGGCGGGGGTGACAACTGATTCTGGACTTCCTGTCATTGCCAGGGCCTCCTGTATCTCTGGCAGCATAATTCTCCCATCTGGGACTCTGCCTGCTGAGGTCATCCCGCCTGCCTTCCATTCCTCCAAGACCTCGATAACCAACAGGCTTAAGCAAGACTGAAGCAATTACAGTTGGAAATTCCTAAATCTGCAAGTTTCTTTTCCTCCGCTATCACCTCTTCTCCATCATTGTCCCCTGGGTGTCGTGGCATCTTCTGGCTGTCAGGAACATCTGTCTTGGAGCCAGTTCAGGCTGAAGTGTCAGCCACAGCTGGCTTCCCTGGCCAGGAAAAAAAAAAGTCTGACCAAAGGCTAGGAAAAGGTTTGATTCCAGAGTGACACTGATGGGGGCTTTTAGCACCTGTAGCTTCTATAGAGCCCTTCAGATAAGACCCTTGTTCTCAGAGCTGAGGCTGATCCCCTGGGGGGGGGGGGCTTGAGAACCTGACATCAAAGCCATTTCCCCTCCCCCTTTCCCCATGGGAGCTTGGTGTGGGGTTCAGCTGCTATGGGGTGACAGGAGCCATCCAATCTCTTCTTTAGGCTCTGCTTGTTTTGAGGGGCTCCAGGCCTAGGAGCAGTCCCCACGGCTGCCAAGGCAAGGTCCTATCCATTGCTGCTCATGCCTNAGGCAAGGTCCTATCCATTGCTGCTCGTGCCTCCCCCTACTGGCATTCTAGCTCCTGCCAGGGACCAACCCCTTCTTCCTCCGGTTGGGTCAAGGAGCCAGCATCCTTTGTAGGCCTGCCCTGCTCCCCAGCCGGTTAATTGAATTGCTTTATCGGTCATCATCACTGAGGGGAAGAGATAGGGCCTTTACCCTCACAGAAGGAGAAGGGAAGGGAGGGTGAGAGGAGGCTGCAAGCCTCCAGTTTGCTTATCAGTGGATTTAACCCTGCATCCCACCCCCACCCCCAGGCAGCCTGCAGAGACAGGTGGACTCCAAATCAGATGCTGAGAGGCTTCCCAGGAGGGGCCTGGGGAGGGCCCTGCATAGAGAACAGCCCACGGCCTGTGGAGGTCAGCCTAGAGGCAGGGTTTGGGTTGCTGTGAAAATCCTAGTGAGGGTGCATCTGGGGCTCTGGGGAACTCCAAAGATGGCCTTTGATGGCCCAACTCTTCAAGGGAAAGAACCAGAAGGGTGCAGGCCACAAGCTCAGGCCTGGCCAGGACTCAGAGCCTCAAGAACCATGGACCTGGAATCCAAGGACTGTAAGGGACCTGAGTGCCAGCTCACAGGCACGTTCTCCTCAAGAGATTTCAGCTGAAGGAGCAGGAGCGAGCTCTGGGAGACAGAGCTGGGCTTGGGATTGGGCCATGGGCAGAGAATGATGCGGGGCCCATGTGGCTTCTGCATGTAGAACAGTGTTCGTGGGAATCACAGAGCCAGGGCCAGCTAAGTGGACCTCCAAAGCCCTCTTGCTCAGGGCTGCTGGGGTGGACTACGTCCAGAGAGCATGCGCACACACTTACGTTAGCTCAGGGCCCAGCTGGCAAGACTGGTTGGCACTCAGCGTGTCTCCATCTAGAGCTGTACAGATTCCTCCCACCTGGGCTAAATTCCAGCAAAACTGGTTCATTGCATTAGAATAGTTAATTAGTCCCGATGGACCTGGGCCCCTCCAGCACTGTC